TGACTTAAGAAATGTGTTTGAATTTTGTGAAATACTGAAAAGACTTAAGGCCTAATTTTCATAAACACTAAACTACCTGAGGCTCAAAGTCAAGTCCGGATGGACTTGAGCTTCACAGGTTTCAAAAGTCAACCCCTGGCTTTGGATTTGTTTGGGGGAGGGCCAAAAAAAAGAAGACCCAAAGCAGATGGGGAAGGAGCGAGGAGACAGAAGATTTATCCTGCACCAACATCACTAGGGTAGAAACCAAACACGCTCTTACACTTCAATGACACTCGTATCACTAACGCCCCCGGCCAGCCGTGCTCCCCTCAGCCCAGGGCCATCTGCAGCGTAAACCCAGTCCCAGGCTGAGAGGGGCACGAACGCGGGGTGCCCGGCAGCTGAACCAACGCAAGATTTACTTGATATCTATATTCCTCTTACGAGTCTATTACTGAAGCAGTTACCTCAGTAAGCCATTTGCTGCTGGGCCTTTCTTACAGAGACCCAGAAAGCAGCCTGCACCGGCGCTCTCCCACCTCACCCCCACCCGGTGCAGACCAGGACCCTACAGGTTTTGCCTTATTGATCCAACTGCGTGTTGAGAAACTGATTGAACTCCAAGTCGCAGAAGGAAAGATTATTAAACTACTCTGACTGGTAAGATTTATACTGACCCATTAAAGCAGTCACAAAAAAAAAAATAACGTTTAAGATTCAATATCATAATGGATCCAAGTCAGCACTACTTGTTCCCTACAAAATTAGACATTACCAAAAAAAATAGTAATCCATTTATCACTAGGAAACACCAAAGACAGAGTTCAAGCTAAAATAATGGAACAGTAGAATTTCAATTCTTCAAATAAAATCAATTCAATCTAATAGTGGTCACACAGAACATTAGATCTTCATCACAGAGAAACTCTCTCAAGAAACAAAGCAATAAACTGAACTATACTTCCTATCACTTACAAAGCCAAGAATCTCATTGACTGCAAGCTCCCAGTTCATTTCAGAGAAAAAGATGATCGTGTATTTGTCTCCCATAGACACAGGAACACCTACAAATTACCTAGCAAGTCACAGAGCTGCTTCTAACCAAAGGAAAAGAGAGACATAACACAAGAAATCTCATACTTACAGTGGTAAGCATTGACCAAGTCATGCTTGTTCTATTGTTCCTGTCTTTCCAAGGGATGAGGAGATCAAAAATGAATTAAAAACTAACAGAAAAGTAGATGAGAAATCCAGGTGAAAGCACAATACTCCATTACTTCTCTTAAACCAGAACTCCTACTTGTGGGCCCTCAGTACATACATTTTTCCCATCCAATGGCTTCACCAAGAGAATTCTCTTGCAAGTTGACAAAATCTTTCTGTTCAGAATTTCCCCTGCACACATAGGAAGGATCTTAGAAGAAAATCTTTATTACCGTTATTTTCCCCATAGAATCCCGGCATATGTCCTTAACTTACATGTTGGAGGGGACCATAACTTACACAGTAGCTAACCAGAAGCAGAACCAAAATAAGCTTACAGAACCCCAACACATCACCTGAAGGGACAGCAACCTTCAGCCAGAAAACTGTAGGGTTTTGCCAAAAGCCTAAATGTTCATCTTTGACAACACTTCTGTCACACCGCAGTATTTTCACTCGGTCCTCACACTGCTCCTCTACACGGTCTCCTGGCCTGGTCACACAATGTAAGTCACGCCTGCCTTTCCAGCTGCCAAACCAGAGATTGTATTAATAAAATTACAGCATACCTTGCAGAATTAAAGCTCTTCACTAGTTCGTCTAATGTCCGGTTATTTTTCAGGTCAGATTCCGAGACTGCCTATTAAAAAGAGGGGAAAAAAAAACCAAAACTCCTCTACACGGTCTCCTGGCCTGGTCACACAATGTAAGTCACGCCTGCCTTTCCAGCTGCCAAACCAGAGATTGTATTAATAAAATTACAGCATACCTTGCAGAATTAAAGCTCTTCACTAGTTCGTCTAATGTCCGGTTATTTTTCAGGTCAGATTCCGAGACTGCCTATTAAAAAGAGGGGAAAAAAAAACAAAACCAAAATCATTCAAATGCTGTGAAAACAACAAGTACCAGAAAACATCCAGGAGATCAATAATTTGTTTCTGGACCTATGCTTCAACCACCCCCTGCTAAATTGCTATGTGAATGAAAATGCATAAAGTGCAAACACATCCCAAAGTAATAGAACTGCTTGAGAGCTGCAAGTCTGGGAAATGATGGGCAATAGATAAAAATGAAGCATAAAGCTAAAGCAACAAGAATCCAGTGTACCCAGTCTCCAACAATGCTTTATGGGAGCCCAGGTCTAATTTTGAAAACCAAACTGAGGATTCCATGAATGTGATAAGAACCTTAAGCAACAAGGCATGAAAACTGATGTAAGGAAATGTTAATCTTTCGAATGATTATGGGATGAAAATATGAATTATGAGATGGCTTTGTGGATTCAATTCACTCTTTTAAAACACTTTCTTTCTGATTTTTATCTCTCCGCTGCTTTTTTTTTTTTTTTTTTTTTTTTTTTTTTTTTTTTTTTTTTTTTTTTTTTTTTTTTTTTTAAACAAAGCTTTTATTAGTCCTGCTCATATCAATACCTGTGATTTTTAAGGTGGTAGTAAAATGCAGTCCCCAGAAATGCACATCAAGTAGCCTGCACTTGTTTGAAGCTTTGAAAACTGGGAAGGCTACAAATAGATCTGTTTTCAGTCTTGAAAAGTCTTGTCTAGTTCATGCTTTAGAAACACAGAAGAAAATGACTTCCATTTCACCAATATTCCTGAAGTGCCATTCATTGTTTTCAGGCAGCCTACCGTTTTTAGGAGTTCAATAAAGCCCAATTGGCTTCAGATGAAAAGTCAGATTAAAGCCTAGAATAAATTGCATTCTGTGTTCTTTAATCAAAAAAGTCCTCAAGTGAGATCATGATAATCACCCACCCGCAGAGCGGGCCGCTAGTGCTTTTCACATTTAGCCTGATTCTCATGGCAAATGCCTCCTCTCCCCGGTGCGTCACACAGTGCTCTCAGCCCAAAAAGGCCACACAACAGAACCCGTGAGCTTTAGGTCTAAGTGGTTTGTGGACACCTCTAAAGATTCCTTGAAAGATGAAGTGAGGCCACTCAATCACGGAAAATTTAAGTGCCTAAATTTCGGCACCCATGTTTTAAATGACGGTGTATTTTAACAAATTAGGAGGCATGTTAAATGTTTCACAGCAGATCATTTACACAGCTGTGAGCCAAAACCCAGGCTTGATGCTCCATCTACTCCTGCTTATGCTGACAGAAGAGCAGCTCTGGAACAGGAGAATTCCAGGTGTAAGAGCACCACACTTTGCCCAAAGAGCTGCTTACCAAAAGGAGAGGTGGGAATATAGGACCAGAATAAATTATTTAGCATAGTCCAAAGGGAAAAGCTCCTGAGATTTGCCAAAAATAAACAAGAAACAAGCTCAGGAAAAGAAAACACTTACCACACAGCACGTTGGACACTGAGTTTTGTAGGACAAAAACTTGCGTATACAGAGGGAACAATCTGGAAAAAGGAAATACACAGGTTTTAAACAGGCATTCTTCCAAATGCAGCTCAACATCCTTACTAGTACATTCTTGTTTTGTACAATATAGACAAACTATTCCACAACACACCAATATTGAAAATACACCACTGTTCCATAAAGATTACCATTGTGGCGAAAAAAAAAAACAAAAACCCAAACCACATCATCTGTATTTTATGCATCTTTCAACATTTAACCTCAGTCCCTCTGTCAAGAGCAGATGTTTATTTTGTTTCTTTAACGCAAGACAAGAACCCCTTAGTCCTCACCACCACTAAAAGCAGTTGTGTTTGCACTGCTCGCTCCCCCACCACTGGTTTTTTTTTTCCCCCGTGATCCATGCTGGATCACTTTCACCCTCCTGCACAGCCCCAGACAAACTCTCTGTCCCTTCTTTTTCCCCCATGTTTCTTCCCCTTTCCAAAACAATACCAACCTGCTGAGGGAAAAGGCTAAGAAGGATGGGAAACAGTGCTGGAACGCTAACTGAGAGATGGCTTAAATGTTTCCCGAGAAAAGCAAGGCACATCATCGTCACGGGATGCTTGCATAGGCGCTTTGGTGAAATACAGCATAAGCTTCATTTTGTCGCAGTAAATTCCTGCAATGATTCTACTTTCTCTACTTATCTATGAGCTTTCACAACCACTTCAAGACATAAAAAGCTTAATCGCTCTCCAGCAAAACAGAGGTTCACTTCCTAGATCATTACTGGTCAGTCTCAGCACCTCATGCACTTGGCAACAGCCACCCAAGCAGATGTATTTTATTTTAAAGACCCTCTGTGACGAGTCTGAAAAGCAGCAGGAGCATTAATGCACTAATTCGGCACTTAAAACCGCAAATCCAGCTGAACACTCAAAAAATGACATCATACAGTAAGGTGTGATATAGGGGGAGAAGTTCATAAAAAAAGAAATCAATTTTAACCGAATGAATATGAACGGGCTCCTAGACCCAGCCTGCCAACATGCGATGACCAGTGACCTGCAGCGAGCAATGGGACTGTCCTACGTGTGCAGCCTGATGGCTGCTCGTAAGCAGGGCCGCTGAAGCATGTTCGAAGATAAGAAACGACACAAGCTCTTAAGTCTTAGCGTCTGTGCCCAGGGCTGGCCTTGGGCACGTGCAGAGAAGACAACGGCCTCACATTTCTCTGTCTCCTCTCCCACTTGCCGCCTCTTCCTACGGGACAAATAGCACCACCACGGCCCCGGTCTCAGCCGTTCCCGGGGTAACAAAATGGGTCTCTGCCTCCTGTAGGCGGCACATACACCAAGAATTAAATGGTGCCACAAAGTTCACTTCCATCTGCACCGACAGACCAAACCTGTCTGTAAAACCGCATCTACCAAACTAATCATAAGACTCAGCCCCAGCACTATTTCAGCGTACCGAGGAGAATCCCAAAGCATGAATTTGATTTGAGAACCGCTCGCACTGAGCTCCGCTTGGGATGAAGGCTCCGACTTCGGCACGCTGCCGATTCACTGGTTGGAGGGCAGGGCCCCGGGGGCAGAGGCAGCAGAACACAGAGCTGAGGTACCCTCAGCCACCGCCTGCCACCATCCCCTGGCTGGTCCCTGGTTCCTCAGGACAGCAGCACGTTTTAACACCCTGTGCTAGTGGTCGTGCCCACCAGGCAACCTCCTGAGCACAAACGGACCGAGTTTGAGAGACTGAGGTGTAGGACGCACCCGAAAGGCAGGGCACGTGGGCTCAGGCAACCGCAGCCTTGTGGGTCTGAAGAGGCCACGCAGGGCCAGGACAAAAAAATCAGATCCAACTGTCCCAGCCCATGCCATATTAATTAACAAAATCCAATCCTCTTGGACTGAAAATATAAGAAATCTCAGGGCCTCGATTCATTCTGCACCTGGGGAGATGTCCATGTTACAGAAGATGTCCATCTTCAGACGCTTTTATTATGGGAAAGAAATATGAATGGCACGTCTACTCCGTCACCAAAGATACAATCCCAAGCACTGTGGAAGTTAAACAGCTACTGTCAAGAGAGCTACTGAATGCTACCAGTCACCCCAGAACAAGCAGGGGAGGAATCTTAAGCAGCTATCGGTGCAAACAGATTAGAGATGGCTAGCAGCCCTGTAATAGATCCTTAAGAAAAAAGAGAAACAGAAAAAAATTCTGCAAGCAAATGTATTTCATCTTCATCTATTCACAAATAATTACTCATTAACGGCAGCTATAAGGTCTCCCCGGAGCCTTCTCCTCTCCAGGCTGAACAAACCCAACTCTCTCAGCCTGTCCTCATAGGAGAGGGGCTCCAGCTCTCAGAGGATCTTTGTGGCCTCCTCTGGACCCACTCCAAGCAGGTCCATGCCCTTCTTGTGCTGGGGGCCCCAGAACTGATGGCAGTGCTCCAGGTGGGGTCTCCAGGGGCAGAATCCCCTCCCTCGACCTGCTGGCCATGCTCCTTTTGATGCGGCCCAAGATATGGTTGGCCTTCTGGGCTGCAAGCACACCTTGCCAGGTCATGCTGAGCTTCTCATCAGCCAACACCCCCAAGCCTTCTCCTCAGGGCTGCTCTCGGTCCATTCTCTGCCCAGCCTGTATTTGTGCTCACTTGCGTTACAAAGATATTTATATGAAGAACTGTAGGAATAGGTGGCATTTAAATGCATTAATGCAAAGCACATGCGTTTGCGCTGTCAGAAGGGTGCAACCGTAACCGCACAAGGAAAGGTTCCTGGCTGCTTCACAGCTTTCATCCAAAAGAGCCCCTCTGCAATACCTCACGGGAAAACATCCTTGCTAGCTAAGCCATGAGCAGAAGAGCTGCATGGTTTGTAAAGAAAGTAAAGGATCAGTAATCTCTGCACTACACTGCCAGTGAACAATAAATGGTCAAATGACGACTTGTCTCTGAAGGCCTAAAGGAGAAAATCTTTTATGAGGATATTTTTCAGTAGTTGCCTGTCACTCAGGTAGGGTGCAAGATGATTGTGCCAGCTCATAAGGCCCACAAGGTCATTCTCCAGTCCTGTGTTTCCTGGGAAAGAGGTACAAAGACCAAACCATTCACTCAAAATTTCTGCACACCGTCTTTGGTCCTACCCATTTGCCCTGATCCGTCAATTGACCGGCAAGCCTGGCTTACACGGAGTCACGGGGACAAGGCACACTCCCGTCACGGCCACCCCCATAACCGCTGCAGCGTATGGGAAGGGGCGCTTACATGAAATACGTTCATTCTAAATTCCACAAAGCTGCAGGATGGAGGGAAGGACAAGGCCACTGCCCCTTTCCTGGCTTGCCACAAACGCCCCACTTCCCTTGGCTCCTATTCTTGAGCCATTTTTACTAAAACACAAGCCAATTATAACTGCAACCACCAACTCAACAGCGATGCATTAAGTGATCACCCATAAAACACAGCGTTAGTCCCAGGACAGGAGGCACGGATTTACGATGAAGAGGAGCTAAGTTCCATGTTGCCCTCTGTGAATTTAGCTAGCCCTCACGGAGCGGGCACGCACGGCAGTCGGGTGGCACCGGTCCCACCGGGGCAGGGAACGGGCCGGCAGCGCGGGAGGCAGCCGCGCTCCGTACTTACAGTTATGCGAACACTGCGGAATGATCATCGCAATGCTGAAGTAGTCAAAGCAAATCCCGCACCGCAACAGGTCATCCACCGCCTGCAACGAAAAGCGGAGGTCACCGGCGGGCTGACCCGCGGCCCGGCCGCCCCGAGCTCGGCCCCGGCGGGGGCACCGGGAGGAGCGGG